GAGGCCCTTGTATCTGTTCATGCTCTTTCACAGTAACATAAGTTTCAATTTCTTAACTAAATACCTACAGAATTTTAAATATATTTGAATACAGAGCTTAAGTATATGATTATGGAGCATTAACTAAAAATTTAGGGAGCTTGAGAATATGTATATGGAACTTGAGTGGCTCTAGTCATACATATTTTGGTGTGTAATTCTCTCACTGTACAATCCTTGTTTGTCAGCTGCTAGGTGGTTTATCAGTACACGGCATCTCCACGTTCCCACACCAGCAGGGAATAAAACAGAGCCAGGGGGTGGTGTCTTCACTCTACTCCACTCTGTCTAGTTTATCTTCGCATATGCTAAGGTTGTAGGGTTGCCTGTGGAACTATTTCAGAGTAGATTCTGTGCATGTTAACTGCTTTCCACCCCAGAAGTAGCAGCTGCATTTTACCCTATACTTTCCTTAATATTGTAAAATAACTTTGAGGACTGGAAGGAGCAGGGGGGTGGTTTCCAATTTCCTCCATTACTCCACAAACACCAACTTGTTTGACTCTACTATGTTCTAAGGCACAAGTTCTGCAATTTATCATGCGCTATGCAAAGAAATAGCTCTTTTTATTTTGAACTGTCAGCTGACAACTACACCTGATATCCTGTAAGTCTTGTCTTGAAATAGCTAACAACTGGTCTTTTCCTATTTGTCTTCATCACAACACACATGTATCTGTAAGCTTCAATCGTATCCTACTCCCAGGTCAGTCTTCCATTTTTCAGGCTCCCTTGTTGTTCCTCCAGGGAAGGAGTTCCACAGTTGTAATCACACTTTCTATTCTTCTGGGGTTTTGTGCATCATTTTAGACCAGAAAACAGCACAAATAATGGAGACGGAAAACCAATATAGCTTTATACATGTGCATTACTCCACACCCAATTCTTAACATTGTTTTTGTGCAGTTTTTGGTTCCTGCTGAGGTTATGTTTTCTTAGATCCATCTACTGAGTTCTAGCTAGTCAAATAGCTTAACTCTACAAGAATGAGCTGAAAAGTCTTGAAAAAGTTTTCAGAAAATCTGAATATGTAGTAAAGAATATCTAGGAAATATAAGGAAACTTGGACAAGAAGATCAATGACCAACTTGTAGTAAGGTAGGGTAAACTGGGGGAACAGTAAGTCTGTTCTAATTCAGCCATCTAGCATGCAAGCAACGAGCTAAAGAGCACTAAAATTCAGGCAATTAATCTGACTGAACTGTACCAGAATTAGATCCAGTAAAAGCAGAAAAACTGTGATGTCTCTGAAAACAACTTTGCTGGAGGCACACTAAGGCCAGCAAATTCACCTAGTCTTTGCTGGACCTTCAATGGTTGCCTTTGAGAGGAGAAGAAATAGAAATACACATCAGCTTATGCAGCCATTCTGTTTTGCTCTGGAGCAGACAATTCTTATTGATATCAGAGTCAAAAAGATGATGGACAAGACACTCCAATCCCAAGATACTTCTTATAATACTTTCTTGAATCTCCCTTCACAAGCTATCAGTTTAAATGAGTTTATCTAAGGCCACAGTCTCTGTAACTTGGATTACCTATCGGAGCATGCAGGAGCAATCTGTTCAGTTTCAAAGAGTAGCTACTTTATTGCAAGGCTGAAGGTTTTGCTCCATCAAAATACACAATACTGCTTGGAAATATCCAAACAAAATCACTTCAAATGAGTAGGAAGACAGCACAACAATGATACTGAACACCTCTGAGTTCAACCATTTTGCCATGTAACCATAGACCACACAGTATGGACTTCTAAGTTCCCCAAACACAAAAGGTATTAATGAAAATAAAAAATGTAACTATGTATGATGATTGTCTGGATTTTCCACCAATTATGCAACTGGAGGACAATGTGGGAGAGATGACCAAATAAGCATCAGGTGAACATTTGGACAGAAGTCAAGGTGGTAGTCATCTCATCTGCAGTTAGGTTTAAATAGTTATCACAGTAGATGTTGCCATACATCCACACATAAGGAAGGCATTTACTAACATGTGGTACTCAACAGTTATATACTGAGTCTTTTCAAGGGCTCGTTATGGTTCATGTGTGAATACACATGGTGTGAATGCACATATAAATATTAATCAAGAGTATTCAGAGTTTGCTTTCATAAGAGATAATAGTTCAGACTAAAGAGTTAAAAACCTTATAATTACAGGAAGTATCATGAGATTGAATGCTGTCTGTACACATTGAGATTTCCTGTCCCCCCTGAAGAGTGAACTGACTGATACATCTGTATAGGATATTAATTCAAATGACCCATCAAGATTACTTGATCACTGGCACACAATCATTTATTGGTATGACTGGCAATCAAAGCCGTTTGGATTCAGCACAGAAGGTACTTAAAACTAGACCACTCCCTACTACCTTAGCCCCTCCACCAGTATGATCAAAAGTGGAACAGAGTCCTGAGATGTGTCTTTCATCAAGGGAAAAGGAACCTACAGAGTGCTGTGGAACAGCTAAAATTCATGGAGGAAAAACCAATCCCAAAGAACTACAGAATAGTAGCACAACTTCTGTTGAAAAGGACCTTTATGGATCATCTAGTCTAATTACGTCTGCTCAGAGTTGACCTCCAAGTTAGGTCAGTCTGTTCAGGGTTCTTTTCAATCCAAAACACTGAAATGATTGGAGATTCCACAGCCCCTCTGGCATCTGGTTTCTGAGCTTTATCACTCTCACCATTCATTTCATTTTCTTTTTGTATCCAGTCAGAATTTTCTCTGTTGCAACTTGTGTCCATTGCCCTTGTCCTTTCACTGTACATTTCTGAGAAGAGGCTGTCTCTGCCTTTTCTAGCACGTCTGGCATTTGAACTTCACAACCTGCCAATCCCTTACCTCACCTCAACAAATCAGAGAACAAATGTGCTCTGGTCAGTAGATGAAAGTGCCAACAGGGAAACCTCAGTTCTAAACACCAGTCACAGCAAATTTTAACCTGACAATTCCAGCTCTGCTGCTACATTAGGAAAGATGGGAAAAAAATCTCAGATATATTCACCTCTATACTTCCTCTATGATGCAGAAGCATTAGTGGGTTATAAATGCAGCTTTTCTGTAGCCTCAACTCTTCGTTGTTGTTGTTTTAATTATAGGTAGGATAACACAGCTGGCAGTCAAGATAAATTCTGACATTTTAAAGTTTAAGAGTTGCAGACCACAAAGTTTAATGTAAAAAACCCCCTGTCCAGTAGCAGAACCCCCTTGACATTCTTGGGGATTTCTCTAAGTAGAAAACTGTGCGAAGTGCCCACAGTCTAATTCCTCATCATGTGACATAAGATTTTCTAAACAGCTTTTCCTTGTAATCTCTTTATAATCTCTTAATCCAGCTCTTTGGTCCTTCTCACAATATAGAAAGCTACCTCTGGAAATTTAAAACCCCCATTTGGTCTCTCACAATCACAGGTGAGGATGTCAACTCTGTAGTCTGGATTTCAAAACTGGATAAGCAATTTGGCTTTTTATGAAAAACAAAAACCACTCCAAGCCCACATACCATACCAGAGATGCTGGAAAACTGACACCCTGAAAATACAGGGTCTCCCTTCCCACGTCAGGATATAGAAATGACTGAAAGTAGGACAGAAATAACTGAGTAGGATACTGATCCTCATTTGTGGTAAAAACTGAGGATGTCTGATGTAAGCACAATTTATGTTGTTTTCTTGTTTGTTGTATTTAATGATCACATTTAACAATAAGGCAGCAAAAGAACACTGCTTGGACTTGTAGCCTCTGTCGCTAATGTACGTAACCTAAAGTAAAACAAACAAACAACAAACCAAAAAAACCCAATCCAACCAACTAAAAAACCCCCAAAGGACAAAAACCCACCCCCCAAACCAAACAAAAACCACCACAAAAAACCCCAAAAGAAGAAGATACTGATTTTTATTTGCAACTCGTATACTCAGTTCTACGTAACTGCTTTCCAACCAGTGTACTAGGGGTCTGTTTATTCTACTTCTGTGAGGTAGTTCTAGTATCCTTGTCTTCATTAATGCCAGAAGAATATAAACTGCACTGTTCACTGCACAGAATGCATTACTTCGTGCTTAAGGCATCTTCTATCTCTATGTCCAGAAGAACAGGGTATATCTGCCTAAAATCACAAATAAATGGAATATGTGATGAGACTGTAATGACACAACTCCAAAGAGGTCACCTACCTTTCTGCTTCATCATGACCTCAAAAACTCTTTTTACTCTAAATTAACCTGACCATTTGGAAGAAGGAACACAACAGGTAAAAAAAGCCTTTGCTGGTGGCAAAGATATCTATCCTAAAAAAGGGTGAGTGAATCTAAGTAAAACTGCTTATCTATTAAAAAAGAAAAAAATCAACATGAAAGTGACAAAAAGGGGTAGGTGAAACAGGTGACATCTATCCTGAGACAATTCCTAAGGCAACCCGTGTACAGCATAGGCAGTGTCTTACCTGAACTGGTGAGCACACTCAGGGGACTGCTGGAGGAAGTGAGTGCAGCGGTACCACTTGGTGTATTCTGAGCTGCAGTGGCTGCAGCTGCTAATGCAGCCAGGTTCTGTAACTGCATCGCATTCAGTCCTGCAACACATTGAAGAATACAGAGTATCTCCTATAATGGTCACCATCACCCAAGCTTAACAGATCCAGCAGTCTTAGCACATGACAAGGGAGCGATCG